GATCGATGGAGGGGAACCCGAAGATTATATAGAAGCTTGTCAAACCACAGATGCTAGCAAGTGGGAGTTTGCCATGAAAGAAGAGATGAAGTCTACGATCTCCAATCAGACATGGGAACTAGTCAAGTTACCCATGGGGAAGAAAGCACTTCACTAACAAATGGGTGTATCGGGTGAAGGAAGACCAAGATGGTTCCAAGAGATACAAAACCCAACTAGTTTTCAAAGGATTTCAGCAGAAAGAAGGAGTTGACTACACCTGAAATCTTTGCTCCAGTCGTAAAACTCAATACTATCGGAACAGTGTTAAGTATTGTGGCTAGTGAAGAGCTCTACCTAGAGCAATTAGATGTGAAGATTGCATTTCTCCATGGAGACTTAGATGAGGAGATCTACATGCACCAACCTGAAGGATTTTCAGAAGGAAAAAAGGATATGGTGTGCAAATTGAAGAAAAGCTTGTACGGTCTGAAACAAGCTCCAAGACAGTGGTATAGGAAGTTTGAAAGTTTCATGCACAAGGAAGGTTTCCAGAAGTGCAATGCTGATCACTGTTGTTTCTTCAAGAGGTATAAGTCCAGTTATATCATATTGCTACTTTATGTTGATGACATGTTAGTAGCGAGGTTCAAATATGAGGGATATCGAAATTTAAAGATGCGAGTTGTTAAAGGAATTTAACATGAAGGACTTAGGACCAACAAAGAAGATTCTTGGAATGCAAATCACGAGAGATAAGCAAAAAGGAGTTTTGCAGTTATCTCAAGAGGAGTACATCAACCGTGTTTTGCAAAGATTTAACATGGACAAGGTCAAACCAGTCAATACACCTTTGGCCAGTCATTTTCGTCTATCCAAGGATCAGTCTCCTCAAACAAAGGAAGAAGAAGAAATTATGGCTAAGGTTCTGTATGCTTCAGCCATTGGAAGTTTGATGTACGCAATGGTGCTGTACAAGGCCGGACATTGGCCATGCAGTGGGAGTTGTGAGCAGGTTTATGGCAAATCCAGGGAAAGACTCACTGGGAAGCCGTCAAGTGGATTCTAAGATATCTACGAGGAACAAAAAAAATGTTTGTGTTTTGGAAAAGGAAATCTAAGATTACAGGGCTACGTAGATGCGAGACTTTGGAGGTGAAGTTGATCATCGAAGAAGCACCACCGGTTATGTTTTCACGGTTGGTACTATAACTGTTAGTTGGATGTCGCGAATACAAAAAATTGTTGCTTTATCCACTACGGAGGTCGAGTATGTAGCAGTGACGAAGCTAGTAAAGAATTGATATGGCTTCAAAGATCGTTAGTAGAGTTGGGATTCACTCAAGAAGGGAGTGTTTTGCATAGTGATAGTCGAGTGCAATACATCCGGCAAAGAATTAAACATTTCACTCGAGAATCAAGCACATTGATATTCGTTATCATTTCATCAGATCTCTACTTAAGGATGAGGTGTTAACATTGAAGAAGATTGTAGGAAGCAAGAACCCAACATATATGCTAAAGAAGGTGGTGACCATTGACAAACCGAAGTTGTGCTCAACTTCAGTTGGCTTACAAGAGTAGCGAGACCGGAGAAGACTACTCGCATTAATCAAGGTGTGAGGACAGATTGAAATCAGTCCTCAAGTGGGAGATTGTTGGTGTTTGAAAAGTCAAAAAAGGTGACAAGTGGTTGGTTAGCAAGTGGTTGGTTGGCAAGTGGTTGGAGACAAGAAAAATTGGAAAGTCTTAAATGCACAAGAACCATTCCTTTTCGCTATAAAATGCTCTTTCACTTCACTCATTTCTATCATTCAATTCCAAAGCAACCATTACAAGAGTTAGCCGCAAGAAGCAGAAAGAAAATAATCTAGCTTCTGGTGTAATTGGGTTGAGGGTTGAGTGTTTTGAGAGTGTTTTGTAAACACCTGTGTATTTTCTTTTTTCCGATAAAATATCTCGCGGTAGTCCGGAGACGTAAGCAATTTTGGTCGAACTCAGTTATTAATTGTGTGTCCAATTATTTCGTTTTTATTTCATTTTCATATATATGACTATATGAAAAAGTTACGTGTATTTTTCTTAATATATATATATATATATATATATATATATATAATAATAATAATAATTTTTCTATGTCGACCTGTTAATTTACACAAGTGGAGGAGACTTAAGTACTGACAACTATTTTGTAGTAATTAAGGTAACTATTACAAAAAAAGGAAATAATTCCTATATAAGAAAAAAAAAGATACAACTGAAATAATTTTAAAACAATAACACTTCAAAAGACTATATATTTTTTTGTTAATTTTTAATATTGAAGAGATTAAATAGGAAAAAAGAATTATAAATTAAAAATCAATTTGGTGATAAGTAAACATTAACTTATTATGATGATGATTATCAGGTTCAGGTTCTGATCTTCCCTCTATCTCTACTTAATTAATCTACTTTAATACACTGTTTAAACTCAACAGTTTTACACCAACTTAGCCAAAAAAATCTTTCTTCAATTCAACGTGACCATTGAAACTCTGCAAGTCAACATGCTATTTATGTTTAAAAGAGGGTGAGAAAAAAAAAGCGGATAAACCAATAGCAGCAATACAACTTGATTGATTACACATGAGCATGCATTTCTGATTTAAAAATTAATATTGGACTATTTGTAACCTGGTTATTATATTTCTACGTTTTTTATTTTATTTTTTCATTTCTAATCATTTTGATCTCTCTATATTTTATATTTTATTGCGCTTATTAATTTCAGTGTGGGAAAATTGTTCTTTTCATTTTGAAATAGAAATTTGAATCCGACCATGTGGTCAACCTCTATCCAAGAACAAAGACAAAATTTGAAGGGGGGTATGAAGGACTTAAAGTCTAACAAATCTCCTTTTTAGTCCCTGGTATTCTCAAGTAGGACTAATTCCTGAAAAATATGACAATTTATTTAGGGAATTGATTTCTGTAAATAGTTTATTTTTTTTACATCAAAATTAAATTAAATCCCTGACCTCAGTAATATACATGGGATGTTTTACTCGCCTTGTCTCTTTGGACTGAAGCCATGAGTGATGGTTGTCATTCATATGTTCCAGTAAATTGGAGAAAGAAATTTACCAATCAACCCCTAATTTACGTGATTGCATTAAATCAGTAAAATACAACGCACGTTACTATAAATTATTAAATGAACGATAGTCAATGCTTGACTGTTGACAACTTTCGAAAAAGTCAATGTTATTATTTTCTAAATAATCAATTTATCCTTGCCATATGGACCTTGGCAACATAGTGGAAGATAACATATATGATCTTTAAACTTTAACATGTTAAAAACTTTATGCATAATTATAATCGTCGATAACAAATCTTATAAATTAATTATTAAAATATAAATTAGCAATCATATGAAAAATAATATTTTTTAATATCTTATATAATCTTAAATACTACATTAACTTGTATTATGTTACCATTTATTATTCATTTAGTAATTTGAGTAATGAAGTGTTTTTTATAGATGAATCTTTGACTTATGTTCAATGATATTTTATCAAGAGAGTTTTTGCTTATCATAATTTATATATTAACTTACACAGTTTGAAAACTTATTTAATTTTATTAATAGTTCAATAGATAATAACAAAAGTAAATATAAGAATGATTGATTATTTTATGGACAATATTAACTTCTTTTTTTCTCTTTTAGAAAATAACAATGGGAATCCGAAATAAATAAGTTAAAGTAAATTATAATAAAATACCTCCTTATAAATGACTCTTAGAAAAAAACATGCATTATGAATAAATCTCTTTGAATGATTTTTTGTTTGTATGTAATATGTTCTTAAAAATTAAATATATAATTATAAATTTAAATTTTGGCTTGCATATTCAAATGTATATAATTAATTTAATCACGAATAGCTTGAAAACTAGACTAATAAAATTTTCCTGTTGCCTTTTTATTTTTCTCATTAATATTGTTTTTTAGTTTGCACTGTAGACATTCATTATTATGAACACATAAAAATATTTTACACTTATCTTAAATTTTGATGTAATCTTTTTTATATATTTTTAGCACCTTTATTTATTTCTGTTTAGGGGTATTTATGTTATTTCATAAACTTTTTAGTTATCTATTTTAAATAATTAGGCAATCATTTCACATTCTAATTTTGTTTTTTCTCTTCTTAGACTTATATTTTTCCTATCGTATCTATCCTTTTTCATAAATTAAGCAAAATGTAGATATGTACCAAATAAAACCTGTCATTATTAGTCTAAAATAAATGATAAATATCATAAGAATTTGGTGGAAGTTACACTTGTAACAAAAATTAATGTCAAACAGTTGAAAAAATATCTTCTAAAAAATTTAGTAACTTTATCAAAGTTTTATTATAAAAAATAAAGAAATGTTATAATTTTAATCTGAAATGGCGGTATTAAGTGGACCCTTAGGTACAGAAGAATACGCATATTTGCCTCAAAGCCACAAAAAGTCAAATAAGGTAATTAACTGATTTAGAAGTACGTTGTATCTACAATACTGTATGACCGTATTAAAATGTACCTAAATCCACGTTTGATTAAACGTTCGGCGTTCAGACACATGGCTTAGTTAATTTTATTTTTTGAATGTTAAGTTCATTGATTTTATTTTATTATGATAAGATACAAAGAAAGACAGAGAAACGTAGAAGAAGGGTGTGTGAGGGAATTATTGATGAGGAAAAGTAAGAGAAGTGAAGGAGAGAGTTTTTACGGGTGTTAGGGTTTAGTTAGATGTCGAAGGGTGGAGAGTTATGAAAATTAATACCAAGTTAAGTGAGCGTTGAGTGACGTGAAGTCTTTCATTAACTCCTCTCATCTGCCCCGTTCAGACCCTCGGGTCCCTTCGCCTTTAAAACCTCACCACCCCTACCATCACTTACTATCATCCACCCTTCTTCTCTTTCTTTCTCAACCAAATACCATTTCTCTTTCTCAAACTTCAACTCAACATGCCTCCAACCTTGCCGGATTTCTCCAACTCGGTCAAGCTCAAGTATGTCAAACTTGGCTACCAATACCTCGTCAACCACATTCTCACCCTCACTCTCATTCCTATCATGATTGCCATCTTCATTGAGGTTCTACGCTTAGGCCCCGACGAGATCCTCTCCCTTTGGAACTCCCTCCACTTCGATCTCGTCCAAATCCTCTGCTCAGCCTTCCTCATAATCTTCATAGCCACTGTCTACTTCATGTCAAAGCCTCGCACCATATACCTCGTTGACTACGCATGCTTTAAACCACCCGTAACATGCCGTGTACCTTTTGCTACCTTCATGGAACACTCGAGACTCATCTTAAAGAACAACCCCAAGAGCGTTGAGTTCCAAATGAGGATTCTAGAACGTTCTGGTCTTGGAGAAGAGACGTGTCTCCCTCCCGCCATTCACTACATCCCTCCCAAACCCACCATGGAGGAAGCTCGAGGAGAGGCTCAGCTTGTCATCTTCTCAGCCATGGACGCTTTGTTCAGCAAAACTGGCCTCAAGCCTAAGGACATAGACATCCTCATAGTTAATTGCAGCCTCTTTTCTCCCACTCCTTCTTTGTCTGCTATGGTGATCAACAAGTACAAGCTCAGGAGCAACATCAAGAGCTTCAACCTCTCTGGCATGGGTTGTAGTGCTGGCTTAATATCCATTGACTTGGCACGCGACCTTCTCCAAGTCCACCCCAATTCAAACGCTGTCGTTGTGAGCACGGAGATCATAACTCCTAACTACTACCAAGGCAACGAACGAGCCATGCTTCTCCCAAATTGCTTGTTCCGAATGGGGGGTGCTGCTATTTTGTTGTCAAACCGTAGGTCTGAACGCAAGAGAGCCAAGTACAGGTTGGTACATGTTGTTCGCACACACAAAGGTGGTGATGACAAAGCCTACCGTTGTGTGTTTGAAGAGGAGGACAAAGAAGGGAAAGTGGGGATTTCACTTCAGAAGGATCTCATGGCTATTGCAGGAGAGGCTCTCAAGTCTAACATCACCACCATGGGTCCTCTTGTGCTTCCAGCTTCCGAGCAGTTACTCTTCCTTCTAACTCTAATTGGGAGGAAAATCTTCAACCCCAAGTGGAAGCCTTATATTCCTGACTTCAAACAAGCCTTTGAGCACTTCTGTATCCATGCTGGTGGGCGTGCTGTGATTGATGAGTTGCAGAAGAATCTTCAACTCTCAACTGAACATGTCGAGGCCTCTAGAATGACCCTGCACAGGTTTGGGAACACTTCCTCTTCTTCTCTGTGGTATGAGCTGAGCTACATTGAGTCAAAAGGAAGGATGAAGAAAGGAGATAGGGTGTGGCAGATAGCGTTTGGGAGTGGGTTTAAATGCAACAGTGCTGTGTGGAAGTGCAACAGAAGCATTAAGATACCGGTTGACGGGCCTTGGGCTGATTGCATTGATCGTTATCCAGTGCACATTCCTGAGATTGTTAAGCTCTAGGAGGAGAATTGAATTACAGAAGAAAAAAAAAGAAGAAAAAGAAATTGGTTATCACTTTGGTTTCAGTAATGAAATAGATGAGTCTCATACCCTTATCTGCTGTAGCCGTACCACATATCTCATTTGTCAGTCATATTGCTCATTTCACCATATCATATCCCACTTTTTATATACATATTTGTTTTCTTTTCTTTTCTGTTTATTTTCCAAACAATTACATGGGCCTCTTGTGAATTTGCACAGACATCGCCAACGGGGGTTTATATATGTGTTCATTCATAATTATGTGCAACATGTAAGGAAAACACAGTTTCAATTTGAAGTTTGTATTTGCTTCACTACTATTGGAAAGCTTGTAATTAGGACTTGAAATGTAAGAAGTGCTTTGCTTTGCTTTGTTGTTGTCAGCGAGATTCAAATAAGTTTCATTAGCATGAGCAAAATGTATTTAGCAATAAGATTGTCAGGTTGTGTGAGGAATGTTACATTTAAGAAACCATAATAATTGGCTCCGATTGTGCGCTAAAATAATGGCGCCATGCTATTGATTAGTACCACCTACCATTAACAATCATAAAGTTTCATTCAAATATACGCACTTGGCAGGTTCTCCTTTTTCATCCGATGTGGTTGTTTCAATTGCTCTGGCCTTTGGTAGTGTGCGTGCATTAAATTGATGGTTTTCACTCACTGGCTTTTGTCACTGTTGGCAACGGGAGTTGTTGACAGGGTCCATGATCGGTTATTGGGGGATGGTGGGTATGAACAACTGTTTAATTTTAGCTTTTTGGTCTCTACAAAGGTAAACTTGGGGAAAATCACATGAAACATTTGCTTACGAGTTTAACTGAAACAAAGTATTGGAACTCCAGTAGTGGCACAGCACATCGGATTTCAATTAGGGGTAATAACATAAATCCTCAGAAGAATGACAAATACTGAAAGCATTTGAATATTTGATTTCTTTTAGCTTGACACTCTAACTGAACCAGCAGCAACAGAATCTCAGCTGCTACTGACACTTCAACCTCTTCATCACCCAAAAGGGTCCTCTATATTAATTCTTAATTAGCTGGAGATTGACAGAACTTCATTTAACAGATGTAGTATAACTTTGTGAGTATGGCGTATTTTCGGTCAGTTTCAAGTTTTCAACATTGCAACCTTCTTTAAGATATATTATAATAGACAGCTACCACTATAATTGTCAAGGAATTTTATGTTTGAGAAAATTTTATGCTAATTTTCTCTAAGCAGCAAACAACGATGGGTAACTAAAGTAAAGTAAAAGATTGTATATTTGCACGTAAATGCACCAGAATGGTTTATCTTTTTGCTTTTATTCAGCAGGCATCTGTTTGACTGTTATGGTGGCTATTTTATTTTATCTTTGTGGGGGGAAGAAGGTAAGTGTGATGGAGAATAGAAACGTACTTGTGTACAAAGATGGTGAAAAGGTGAAGTTGACAATCCATCCACCAAAGTTTTCAAGACTTATAAAAGATGGCAACAGGCTATTAAGTCGGCTAACAGAAATAGAAGAAAGCCAAAACAAACATGATCGAAATTAATACAGCTTTGTTACTTCAAGAATGTGCTTCAGAGGGGTAACACCATTCATCACCAACCTTGCCTTTGCTTTTTTTTTTTCTTGCTCATACATACATTTTATTATTAATTTCAATATTTATAAAATTATCCTAAAACTTTTAAATTACATACTAAACAAGAAGCCTGTGATGACTTGATACACATCTCTTTGTCCATGCACAAATAAACCTTAAAAGGAACTATGGGATTTGTTCATCATGCCCATTAATGCCGTTATGGTGGGTTAGACTTTTTTTTTTTTTGTCCTTTTACGGAATAAATGACATAAAATGATAAATTACCAAATTATTCAAGCATGTTATGGAACAGCTGTGTATAGATTCAGCTACCAGGCATGATATTGATTGCCCCTGCCAAATTTGTATAACTCCATCTCAATTTGATTCATCCAGAAAGTACAATCAACACCAAAATATTATGCCACATCTTAATTTCTTTTATCCTCTTTCTCTTTTTCTCATACTCGATAATCATGACTCCGGTTAAATGACAATTCTTTACTAAAGAGTACTTATTAGACTTGGTGAAAACTAATAAACAATTTAGAAGTATACCCTTATTTGGTTTGGAGAATAAAAAAATGTAATATTATTTATTATGATATAATTAATTATATAAGTATATATTAATAAAATATTAAGATCTAAAGTATTCGTTCTTTTTATCCTTTTTTATAATATTTATTAATATTTTCTATATTTATCATCTTTTATTTATATTTGTTTAACACATTTTTGTAATCTACATGAAATAACCAACCATGTATGGGGGAATTAAGCATAGAAATGTCAATCCAACTAGACATTGAATAGCACAGCTAGGATGAGAACAACAGCGTCTTCGTAATGTTTTGACTCTTCAAGTTGTGAGCACAAGCTGTCAAATTATTGAAGTTGTGCACACATAACACAAATTAGATCGCTTTCTTAATTTATAGGTTCACCCTCGTTGGAAATTTATTCACAGAACTGTTAAATAAATGTTTATCTTAAGAATTATACAAAATTCGCTAAGTCATTTAAGAACCTTAAGAGTTCAAAAAAGGGTTTTGTATGGAAATTTCTAAGAAAGTGAGTATCCAATCACTATTTCTACACTAAAATATTACAGAATTTATATCTTAAAACACATCTATATATAACAAAATTACTTTTATGATATAAATAAAAAAACAAAATAAAAATCAGTTTTCAATGTCAAGGATCATTGGGTACATAACATAAAACAAAAAGAAGAAAAAAACCCAAATTTTCATTTATTAATAACCCAAATTAGATATTCCATTAAAATTTGTTAGCGGAGAAGGAAAAATAGAAAAGTAGATGACATAAAACTTATCTTGTCTCTTGTGTATTTTATATCACAATAAATTTTTATTTATAGAATTTATTTACAACGAGACTTATTTACAAACAATTAACAAACATAACTACTTGAATTAGTTACAACACTCTCCTCTAATTCAAGTACATGAATCAACCACACTCAATTCAACTTTCAATCTTCTAAATATATCTCTTTTCAACGGCTTGGTAAGTATATCGCCACTTGAATTTCGATAGAAACAATGAAGTAGATGTAACCTTCCATTATTCACTTGTTCACGTAAAAAATGAAATCTAGTTTCAATGTGCTTACTCTTACCATGAGATATAAAATTATTAGCTAGATTAATGGCTGATTTATTGTCCACGAACAACTTAATTGGTCTTTCTATTTCCACTTGTCAATTCTATGAGAATTGAGTCCGATCATGCGACTTGGCATCTTCGCATATGCACCAAGCAATATATTCGACCTCAAAACTAGACAATGCTACAAGCTGATTGCTTCTTTGAGCACCAAGAGATTGGCGCTTCCAAAAACATGAAAATGTATCTGTTGGTGCTCCTTCTATATAGGCTATCTCCACACCAATCATAATACGAATAGTCAAACAATTCACCTTGCAACCGACCCTCTTTTGGAAATAAAATTCCATGACTCAGCATGTGCCATCGATGTACCTCGACACCCTTTTTACAACAAGAAAGTGTGTCTTCCTTGGATTATTCATGTATCTGCTAATCAATCCAACGGCAAATGAGATATCGAGCCTGCTATTGCAAAGATATCTCGGTGAGCCCACCTTCTGTTTGTACAAGTTGTTGTCCACTTCCTCTTTTTCATCATTGCATTCATCAAACTTCAAACTTATCTCTGCTGGAGTAGTTGCGATTTACTTTCCTCCATATTGAATTTTTTCAAAATTTCAGAGTGGCATATTTGTGTTGATGCAATATCATTCCTCTGTTGTTTTAAACAAATTCCATTCCTAGAAAATATCTTAATCTTCCAAGGTCTGTCATTTTAAATTCGGCCATCAAGGTTTTCTTAAAAACTTCTATCTACTGTATCTTGCTCCATGTGATCAATAGATCATCCACATATATGCACATTATCAATAAACCAACTCCATTCGATGCTTTACATACACACCATGTTCAGCCAGAGCATTTCGGAAGTGATGTTTCGCATAAACGAATCAATCACTGCATTCCAGGCTCACAGGAGTCTGCTTCAAACCATATAAGGCTTTTCTCGGTTTGTAAACCTTGTATGGGCTGTCTTGAACCTCAAATCCTAGTGGTTGTGTAACATACACATCTTCTTCTAGTGGCCCATTTAAAAACGCGAGACTTCACATCTAGTTGAAACAAGGGTCACCCTCTTCCATTTGCCAAAGCCACGACCAATCTTATGGTTTCAATCCTAGCAACTGGAGCAAACACCTCTAAGTAATCCAATCCTTGTTTACGTAAGAAATCCCTTGCAACCAATCGGCCATCGTTTAGAAATAGATCCATCGGGATTTTGCTTAATCTTGAAAACCCATTTGACATCAATTAATATTTTGTCACGGGGTAATTCGATTAAAAACAAGGCTCCATTCTACTCGATTGCTTCTAACTCTTCTATCATGGCGGCTCTCCATAATTCTTGATTCAATACTTACGCATAATCAATGGGCTCGACTTACGCTAATAGCGCAAAATGCACAAGATCCCCTCATACATTACGGCACTTTATCTGGAAATAGTTCAAAATCAAGCAAAGATCGTGGTATATTTCCTTATGCGAGTTGCCTCTGCGGTTGTTGTATAGGAGCGTGTTCTTCGGACGAGTGCCTCTTCACTACTTTGTTTATCACTATGTTCATCTTCAAGCATTATCCAGAATATTTCGATCTTTTAGATTGCTACAATTTGATGTCCAGTCCCATGTTTCAACTTCATTCACTACCACATCCCTGTTGATACATATTTCTCTTGTAATAGGATTATATAACCTATATGCCCTCGTAGAGTGATAACCTAACAAGAATCATACACTCACTTTTGTCTTGTAGC